GCTGTATTGAACCTTTGTATTGCTGTTTGTCCACTTGTCCAGTTGTTCTTTAGCTTCAGTTTTATATTGGCCACAACTAGGTGGTGATCTGAAGCTACGTCAGCGCCTCTCCTGGTTCTCACATCTTCCATTGTCCTTCGGAATTTTTTGTTGATGCAAATATGATCTATTTGGTTCTCTATAGTGTGGTCCGGTGAGATCCATGTAGCCTTGTGTATACGCTTGTGTGGAAATATTGTGCCTCCTATGATCAATTTGTTGAATGCACATAGATTTGCAAATCTTTCTCCATTTTCGTTTCTTTCTCCTAGTCCATGTCGTCCCATAATATCTTCATATCCAGTGTTGTCTATTCCGACTTTGGCATTTAGATCTCCCATCAGAATAGTTAGATCCTTTCTTGGGCATTTCTCAATGACTGACTGCAGCCGCTCGTAGAACTGGTCTTTAATGTCGTCGTTGCTATCATTTGTGGGTGCATAACATTGGATAATATTCATTAAGATCCCCTCCTTCTTTGTTTTGAATGATGCTTTGATGATTCTGGATCCGTGAGATTCCCATCCTACAAGTGCATTTCGTGCTACTTTGGACAGCATAAGAGCGACTCCCTGAGTGTGTGGAGCATTGTCCTCTTCGTGACCGGAGTATAGCAGCATCTCTCCCGTAGCTAGCCTTTTCTGTCCAGCTTGGGTCCAGTGGGTTTCGCTGATTCCCAGTACTACTAAGTTGTATCTCCTCATTTCCATTGCTATTTGACTGGTCTTCCCGGTTTCCCACATTGTTCGAACGTTCCATGTACCTATAAAAATTTTTGCTCTGGTTGTTAGAAGGGGCATCGGCCTCGTGGCTTCCGAAGGAACTCGGCTTTCACCATGAAGCGTCATAATTCTTCTAAATGAAGACCTTCTAACTCCCAGGGCAGAGTTTAAATGTTTTGGATTATTTTTTCTGGTAAGCGTTTTTTTAGCGAGTTAGTTTTCTACGGGATGGGGACGCTAACCCCATACCCTCCTCCTTTACCCGGGCTTGGGACCGGCAGTAACCCTATAAGAGCTACAGGCGGAGTTATCTATCATACGGCGAGATTATAATTTATGGACGAACTTATCAGATTTAAGATGGATGGTCTTGGATTTCGGCGCGAATTTCACTCACTCATTTGGCTAAATACCATTTCGACATTATAGCTGATGTCAGTTCATGATGAAAATATTGAATATAATTTCTAATTCTAACGTTTAACTGTAAATCCTAATCCTAATTCATCGCACTAATTTATAACCCTCATTCAACCCTAGCAAGTAGGTGGACAATTTTAAGGTTATTTTAACTTTGCTTAAAGGTCGTTCATAAATTATAGTCTCACTGAGTAACCCTTCACTTTGTAAAATCCATAAGTATTTAACCTGGAAGTGTAAAGAAACTAGTTTTTAAAAAATCATAATCGGTCGGGCCAAACATAATAATAATGTACAAAGTCATTGGGAATTACTGAGACTTGTCATATAATGTTAGCTAGCTAGGATCTTCTAATGTTCTATAAAATCTCCGAATTGCAAAGACTCGAAATGTGTATCAGTAACTCAAACATATCCATTTCTTCTAATCTTTCTATGAAACTTCGACTTCTACATTATTCTATACGTTTTCATTCTTTGATTACATTTGCTCTTAAACTATACTCCCAATGTTTAATTTTCCAATATGGTTGATATTACTTATTGACTCATTTTTCGCGCCTTGTTAATGTTCTCTTATCAAATTGATGTAAGATACGGTAATATGGGGCAAGTGTATATATTTCTGTTAGGTTCTATATTGTTTATTTGCTGTTCAAAGATGATGGCTGAAATTTGCAACATTATTATCAATTAATCAAACACGTTTCACGTATTTCATTCAACTAGAATTGAAATGAAATTAGACTTGACTATGATGTTAGAGTATGATTGAATCCATTGACAAGTTGCATGTTTTACACTCAAATAACAGATGACTGTAATTCAGTTTATATTTTCATAACAGTAAGATTACACAGATTAAACGCTAAAACATTGAATATGATGTCTAGAAGACAATAGTTTGAATCTTTTCACATGTTTGATCATATCTTCGCTGATTTATTATCGCTCAGCATGTTATTGACTTAATTATTTTTAAATGTTAACTTGATGAATTATTTTCTGTTTCAAAGAATATTCAGACTGTTGATAATTATCTGTTTTTATACTGGTTGTTTGAATCTTCTCAGTGATGTTTACGACTGCAATTAATCAATTTCTTATTAACGTGTGCACATTCTGTGCAGATTGCCTCAATATCGTCTTAAATCACAAACATTATAAGCAGAAATGGATGGTGGACCACAGCGAAATCCAGGACTCATACTTAGTCCTATTTGGGACTTGTCAGTTGGATGTACATGCATCCGAATTGATTTTCACTCCGGGACTCAAACCTAGAGCTGTTCTCTTCAGACTTCATCGCTTTATCTGTCTAGTTACTGCGTCCGAATAGCTACTATCTTTTGAAATGGGGATGATGGGCTGATAATTATCAGTTGAAAATATACACTTTTCATATCATTTATCTGTTCTTAAATAGAAGCAAAGTAAAAATAAAATCAGACTCATTATGATTTTATATTTTCTTATGTTTTTTTATCAATAAAATACGGCAGTAACAATATGTGTTCATTGTCATATGGTTTGTGTATACCTAGATATATATTTTTCCAAACCCTCAAAGATATGTATATATATTCTGTTGTGTTGCAAGAAAAAAACTAGAATTTAGCTAAGAAGATAACCTGAAACAGGCAATAAAAAATATATAATCATAGTATAAATGCATTATTAATGTCATTATTAATCAAGTATTACAAATATCCAGTATACTTTTTACACAGTAAATAAGAACGAATAAAATGTGATTTTCAACAACTGTTAGCGATGTCAGTAGAAGTTTAAAATATGTTTGTTTTCATTTGACTATAGATACACAAAGTGAGAAAAAGAAATAACTGTATAACTGCATAGAATTATCAGGTTACTGATTAAAGTAATTAACTTCTAAATTATTGAGTTCCTTAATGAAATTCTACTTTATCTAAACAATCTGGTAATAGTAATATATCATAATCCATTAAACATATAAAATATGATTTGGTAACGAGTGTATAAACCTACTTACTTATTTAATAAATTACAATAATTTTAACTGTATACTCTTAAACCAATATAAGTTAGATAGGGAATGATTGATCAACATTAATTTTTAATTTAATTAAAACAAACTATACGGTGGTTTATTTATATCCATCAATTTGATTATATTAGTTAATTGCTTCATATTCACAAATCAACTGTATATTCGGTTAATAAAGAAGGAACTCATCGAGCAAAGAAATTTCTTCTTAATTAGTTTTTCATTATGGCTCTACACTAGAGACAGGTATCTACCCCAGTACAATGGAAGTTTGGTTGATGTTGGACACTATCACCATTGGATGCTGGCTCAGTGATCCAGTAGGTTAAGCGTTTGCGCGCGAGACCAAAGGACCTGGGTTCGAATCCCGCGGGCGGGAATGAGGATGCGCACTGATGAGGAGTCCCACAATAGGACGAACAGGCCGTCTGGTGCTTCCAGGTTTCCAACAGTGGTCTAACATCAATCGGTTCATGATCCCAATCAAAAACTTAATAATCTCCACAACCCCTATACCACTAATATATGATTTAAAATAATGAAATCAAAAATGTTGAAATTTATAACAAACGGTAGGAGTATTTTCGTCAATTCAAATGACAATTAAAGTGTAAACACTATCGTTTTTAAACATAAAATATAATTCTAGTTTTAATGCTTATGTAAGAAGGGAAACAAATTTGAACGAAAATTCACAAATGATCCCATAATTTACGAAATATAAAATAAACCTAAGAAAAAACTTTTATTTTCATAGACGAAATTACAATTCTAAGCACAGATCAATGATGGTTAGCTGTAGAATCCAGGGTAGGCGTTTCACTCCACTTAGCTATTGAGTTCAGACAGCCACTAGCTTGTACAATGTTGTGATCTTTAATTTTAATTTACATATATTGGTTGTTTGGATGTTTCTATTGATGTTTAGGATTTCACTTGACCAGTTTTATTTTGGTATATATACATCCTCTGTGGACAGTCTTAATACTGCCAATAAATCCACCATCCATTTCTGCTTATAATCCTTATGACTTAAAGCAATATCTAGACAATCTGCACAGGATGCTTATATACTAATAAGAGACTGATCAATTGTAATCCTAAACATCAACGAGAACATCTAAACATCCAATATACATGGATTAAAATTAAACTATTATTTATTAGATTCCTTAATTGGCTAATAAAATAATTTATTTTCAGTAAAATTTCTTGCACCAATAATAAAATTTAGAAATTTTTTTATTGAATACTGTAATTATTATTTAACTAGAAAATTAAAAGTATATGTGAATTTATAGAAAATACCTTAATAGTTAAATGTAACTAGACTAATTCAGGAGTATATTGATGATAATGGTACTTGACAATTTTTTATCAGAAGAGGGTTTTGTGAAGATTTTAGTAATTTAATAGTTGAATTCATAAGTCAATTGAAGCTAGACCACTATAGAGAACCTGGAAGCATTGAAATGGTTGAAGTTAGATAGATAGGTCCTGGGTTCGAATCTCGCTGGGCAGGATCAAGGATGCGCACTGCTGAGGAGTTCCATACTAAAACGAAACGGTCGTCCAGTTTTTCCATGGTAGTCTAGTTTCAATTAACTCATGGATTCAACTATTAAATTTAAAAAAAATTGGCTTAGAAATATTTCATTTCATTAAATTTGTCCTGATTACTTTGATTAGAAATACAAAACATTCATAATTTTGTTTTCTATTATAATTATACAAGACACCACTTGAACTGAATTAACTTTATTTCTTCATTATTATTTTACATGAATTAGGTACGTGTTACACATACAATTGATAGAACTGATGAAACAAAAGAAATTCGTCAACTATCAGATGGAGATTGGTTTGGAGAAAGAGCATTATACACGTGAGTTTATTCCCTCAATGAAACTTATCATTGTAATTAAGTGAAAAATCATTTTTGATTGTTATTGAAATCAGATAAAGTGATACATAAACAAATTATTTAATTTAAGTAAAATTGGACAAAATAAGCAAAACGAAATTAAATTCAAAACTCAACTGTATTGTTACCTAGTAGAAAATTCATCAAATGAACAACAAATATTCAACATAATTTCATACAATAGAGAAAGAATGAATAATAGCATTAAGGTAAAATAAGCTAAATATAAATAAACAATAAAATGAATGAATAGGATCTTATCACGAAGTCAGCGCATATAAAATTAAGATAAGTATATAATTACTAAGTTTAGGCCCTTTATAATGTACTGAAACAAAAGTTACAAGTATGGAGATTAAGTATATGATAATAATTGATTTAGAATGATCAGGTATTTAATAAATACAATTTAAACTATAGGAAGTGGTTAATAAAACATGTATTATACGCACAAATAAGATTATTTTGTATACATATTAAATACTGTTTTAAGTTCCATTTTCATTATTCAAAGAATATATATATTAACACTGTTGGATGCCGGCTCAGTGCTCTAAAGGTTAAGCGTTCGCGAACGAAACCGATAGGTCCTGAGCTCGAATCTCACGGGGAAGAATCATGGATGCGTACTGCTGAGGAGTCCCATACTAGGACGAAACGGCCGTCCAGTGCTTCCAGGTTTTCCATGGATATATATATATATATATATATATATATATCGGTCGATGAATTATTAGAACTCTAAAACTTGATAAATAAGAACTTTCGTCTAAATTTGAACGAATAGTTTCACAATATTTGGGCGCCGAGTTAATGTGAGACATTAAAAAGAAGAATATATTTGTAAAATCTCAGCGAATGAATTTTTAAGTAAATCCAACGTTTTCCCGGGCAATCTGGTTCAAGCTTTTACAAGGAAAATATAATCATATTATTTTCATATAAACATGTCTCTTACACATTAATACAAATACCTATTTATAAAAATCCTTCACGTTGATTGGATGACTTATTCAGTAAACAGTAAACCGAAGAACCTTGTACCTATTTATATTCGATAATTTTGTTGTTTGATTATATTTTCCTTGAAAAAGCTTGAACCAGATTGCCAGGCGAAACGTTGGATTTACTTAAAAATTCATTCGTTGAGATTTTACAAATATATTCTTCTTTTTAAAACTTGATTTACATTTCTTGAATTATCATTTTTTATATTTGAACCATCAAAACGATTTATGTCACTAATGTTTATGTTATATGCAATTAATTCATTATTTTGATTCCTGAGTTAGAGGGAAAAAATCTTCATTGAAAAATACAGAAACCGTGTAGTAGTTAGAGGATTTAGATTTTAACCATGTTCAAGCCGTGCTTTAAATCTTTCGATTTAGATACATTGGTATCATCATAAACTCGGTAACACAAAGTATCGCTGAAAGCTGGGTACATTAAATTTTATTCGGTAAATGAGTTAAAGTATATATAGTAATAGCATTTATCAAATTAAAACATTTATATTAATATATACCTTTAGTGGTATGACTCTAAATAAAATCTCACATGTTTTGTACTAGTAGACATTATGAGTAGTTGAAAGCAACTAATATCAAATAGTAGCATATATCATTTCTAATAGCCATTTCATATTACATAAAACACTCATACTTTTTAGTTCAAATACAAAAAGTCACTAGTTATTAATTCAATCACAGCATCTAAAGTGTCTTTCTCTTTTTAAATACGTACTGAAGTTGGAAATTGATATATCATTAAAGAATTCTATCACCAACATCTTTAATCTACTGTTCTCCTTGATCGTGACAAAACAAATAAATTGTATTGACATACGTTATAAAATTATCTAACTAATAGACGATATCTATATTGCAAGTATGACATTTAATGATAAATATAATTTTATGTTTTTAGATGTGAAAAACGAAGCGCCAATGTAATATCTGCCGAAGGTGGTGTACATCTACTCTCATTGGATAGGAGGTAAATAGAAGTTTGTAGAAACTCTTTTTGTTCATTATGTATACATACCGTACGAAGATTTCGCAAATCATGTTATTGTGTAACCATCTTATGTCAGTCATCCTGGTGGATATCATTAAACACTAAATTACCAAGTTTGACATTTTGTCGGTTGTATTAGAAAATTTTACTATCATCCATGATAAAATTAAACTGACATCCTTTATGCTATTATCCTATACCTTTACTAATACTGAGTGATTAAAATGTAAATAAACAGTAGTTTGTCGTAGTTGATGATTATTTAAATACTACTGTTTAACCATAATAATCCAATAGGTTTTTCTTAATCTTAATCCCTGTCGTTATGTAGGGTTTGACTAAATTTCATCTGTCATTCTAACACTCTCTTGAAAGATATCAAAGTAAAGTGAATTAATGAAATATTACATATATAAATATTATGGGAAAAAGTACTACTTCGACTTCATAGCGTCCGCTTATTAGCTTTAAGTTTTAAATGTTATTATGATCTGTATGATTTATTTAGTTGAATATTACTTAAAGTTAAAACTTAATGAAATAGTCCCCAAATTTATTATTACGTTTTTATGTAAAACTCCAAGGAAGTTTGTACATCTGGATTAGTTCAATATGGAAAAGATAGATTGATATTTCTGAGAAATTTTCGCTAACTTGTTATCTTCTTTTACTAACCAACTGTTTGTTAAATACTTCTTACAAGATGTGCCTACCTCAACGTACAATTTTTGCAGGTGTACAGGTAGATTGAAAGAAAGCTAGGGGCCGCTAAACTGAAATGTGCCTGAAGTCATTGAATATTAGTCTGAGCCATCTAGATAAGTGCATATTATTAGATTAGGGTCCTCGCAATAATTATAATAAACAATTAAAGACTGTGTGATATGATTCAGGATCATGCTTATTGGTGCAGGCACATTCACTCTTAACCATCCCTTATATTCTAGGCTTCTTAATTATCCTAAAAATAACTTTTTTATTACTCCACAAATTCATAATTTTTACTACTTATACTGATTCATTTACCTACGCCTATTACTCCCGATGGAGCATAGGCCGCCGACCAGCATTCTCCAACCCACTCTGTCATGAGCCTTGCTTTTTAGTTCTATCCTATTGTTGTTCATTCTTCTCATGTCTGTCTCCATTTCTTGGCGTAATGTGTCAGTGCAACTCCTTGTGTATGTGGGGCATTTTCTTCTTCATGGCCGGGGTATAACAGAAGCTCTCCTGAAGCTAGTCTTTGTCGTTCAAACCGCATCCAATATGTTCCAATGATTCAAACATCTATAGGTTATAACTTTTCATTTCTGCGGCAATTTGAATGACTTTCCCGGTCTACCACATTGTATGAACATTCGATTTACTTAAATTAATAGATGCTCTGGTTGTCACAAGGGGCATCAGCCTCGTGACTTCCGAAGGATCTCAGGTTTTACTATGTTTCGTCATAACTCTTCTAAATGAAAACCTAACTCTCAGGACAGAGTTTAAATGGTTTTCTGGTTAGCACTTTTTTTAGCGAGTTAGTTTTTCACGGGATGGTGTTGCTAACCCCATGCCAAACCCTCTTTTATCCGGGCTTGGGACCAGCAGTAGCCTCAGAAGTGCTCCAGGCAGAGTTACTAATTCTACTGTTGTTTCATTTAGCCAATTGACTAAATAAATAAAAAACGAATCACTAACAATTACACTTGAAATTAATTCTAGTTTAGAATAATCACCTACTAATGATCCAGTAAACACAACGAATAACATCAAATAAAATATTCTTTCTAATTCAAATTCGACTAATCTCTAGTGTCTAATCTGTGTTTCTATTATCCAATAAAATCCTTTATTTATTTATTTTAAAAGAAAAACAACAAAGAAAAATAATTTCTTTCTCCTACTTTTTTTTTCTTTCTTTCTTTTCTTTATAGTAATTTTATTTATCTAATTGGTGATTTAAATGAATTCAAATCTAAAACGTATGATGATATCAATCGTCCATCTACTGGGTAAATAAAATTATTTCTATCCTATAATATTCAATGTTATTTTGGTAAATTGGTTAAATGAATGTTCCTTTTTTTTTTAAAAAAAAAAGAAGAGGTAAACATATGTAAATTGGCAATTGATGTAATGCTTATTGATTACTTTTTTTAATGGTGACCAATGTCCTTTTGTCATCTTGTTTAATTATTAATATCTGTTGATTGAATGTTATCGATCTATTTGTAAAAGATAATCATTCATCTAAATGACATAATATTATGATGTATTACAATTGATGTTAAATGACTATAGTTAATTTTTATAGAAATATTCTATTCTCTAATGAGAATTTTATATGACTGACCAGTTTTTTTTTAATGATTCATGATTTTGAAACATTTACACAATTCTATCTGATAGATACTAATCTGTTTTTAGACTTAACTAGATTTATATTTGTTATATGATCTAGTATGATAATAATGGTATAAGGCAGTTATCCATTGAAGACCATGGGTTCACAATATTGAGATTTAATTGAAACTAGATATGTAATCTAGTGGTTTGAAGATTAAATACTTACTTTTAGACATAAACGTTTTGTGTTCCAATCATGGTGGGGTTGTGAATGCTCACTTCTAAGTAGTTTCTTACTAGGACGAAACAACTGTTTTATGCTGTCCTTTGAAAACATTCCTATATGTATTTTATTGCATATTTTTGTATCATAACTCTTATGTTTGCTACACTTTATTAAGTCTTTTCATTTCGTTTTTTAATTTAACTTCTGTTTGACGCTTCCTTCGGATTTTAGATGGTCTATTTAGCTCTCGACGTTAATTAGTTGTCATGATTGAGATTTGTAGCTCAGATGTATGATTTTGATGGAGTTTTGTTCTTTGAACTGGATGGTTTGGTTGTAGGAATTATGGACAAATATAGGACCAAAAATAAAATCAATGGAAGATAAAACCAAAATAAAGAAGTTAACAATGACAGGTTTAGGGTCAACAGTAACCAAAAAACATCAAGGTCTACAAAACAAGCTGTGAACCATATATGGAAAAATTTGAACACTTCTTTTCTACCTGAAGTTTATGCTGATGATGTCGTTCAGAATAACGATGAAAGCTCCACGACCAAACCATCCAGCTCAGAGAACAAAACTCCATCACAATTAGTTATCATACCTACCGATATCTATTTACATATTATGTCTATCTGACTGATCATTTCACACTTAAAGAATGTTCACTACTTTTATCAAACATCGTTTATTCAACCACAGTCATTCATTCTCTCTCCAAAGTTCTATGCTGATCTCTAGAGATTAGTTATTTGCTTCTTCGAACAATGAGAACTTTGTGAAATAATTTAAGAGTATTTGCAATGTTTACATGGACACAAATTCTCGCATATTCGGTTCAATATATTACTAATAAATGAAGGTCGATATATCGTTTTAACTGAAGATTACTTTCAAATATCTTGTAACAAATCGATTTGTTTGATCTATTAAACTTACATACCAGGTTGTATTGTACATTCGATAAAACTTCTGTAGAGGTTGAAAAACAAAATTAGTAAACCTTAATTGATCCATTTAAATAGTTATGTAAATTTACTGAACCATAAGAAGAAGTATTCACATTTTGATTCATAGATTATTTCATATTAAAACATATTTTTTCTCAACCTGTATGACAAATTTACTTCATTATCCTGTCAATAATATCAAATATTAATTTCCCTTGATATTTGTATGATTATCGTTAATTGATTTACCCTAATCATCAATAGAGTTAATCGTTTTTTTTGCCCAGTTTCTCTAATCTCACATATTTATCTAATACTTCTTTCGTATTTATCTTAATTGTTTATGATAAAGTATCCATATAGGGCAGTGTATGTTTTTATTTACATTACATAGGATAACATCAATAAATTATCAACAATCGGAAGGATATTTAGATAAAGAAGAGATTGTTAGTACTCCACAAACTGTTGAACAAATAGAATCAAAGGATTTGCTCTCTTTAGTTAAAATTGATAAAGATGATTTAGAACGAATCACAGTTCTAGGTGTTGGAGGGTTTGGATGTGTCGAATTGGTAAATTTATTATGATAATATTGTATCGTATTTTGTATATAAAATTTAACATCTTAACATTTCTATTTTCTGATTTACTATATACATTTACAAAGTGTTGAACATGTATGTTCATTGTTTAAGCGTCCAAGACAAAACACTAGATTATATTATTCAGGACGTGAAGATCAGTATCTTACCATATACTCATTTTGCTTTCTATGCCTTTGTGTCATTCTCCTTGTACTTCTAAAGATGCTATATTTCAATTAAATTTTGCATTTTTCATCAATTCTATCACATAAAGCCATATGTGACAGTCTTTTTGATGTAAATACTCAATTAAATGTTTCCTCAAACGATCACCAATATAACGTTCGACTTACATGGATAACTTTGAACACGTTACACTAGATAGATCAACATCATATTCAGTCTCATCATATCTAGTTTCTAATTGCTAAAAACACGGACTGACCCAATATGGTCAACCATAAGCAAAGAGGATCCAGTTGCCGTGTAGTTGATAGATGTTCATTCAGTAAATAGAGCAAACAGTCTCGTGTATGAAAAAGCACATATAACATTGTAGAATTACAGAAGAAATCCAATATGGGCCAAAGTCCATTGAGATCATCCACAAGCATTTAAATTCAATTCATAAAATAAGCGCTCAATTTAGTTAGATAGATCGTAAATATGTTTCTTTCGAAAGACTTTGGAACACTTTAAACTTTTAAAGTGATTTTCCAATCATGTCTTAGCTACAAAATCACTTGACTAAACAAAATGATGGTATTGAAATATCATTTAAATTCTTTTCCTCGTTAAATGCTCACATTTCTGTTTTGATTTGAGATTTGGGTTCGGTTGAGCCTACGGTAATTTATTAGAACGAATAGTTAAAATTATTCTACTACGAACGGAATTATTTGTGAAAGATGGTACCACACAACTGATATACAACATTTCAGCATTAATTCAAATTGGCGAAGAAATACAGAAGGAACCTGGGAATTTAAGTAAACGTAATATTCAGGAAGACACTTTTGATGTAGAACAACTCTATATACATAGTAACAAAACATGACATTGGAATATAATAAAGTTGACAAACTTACAACAAAAGCAGTCGATTAGATAATATTAGACGTTAGTATAGAAAAAGGAACCAGAAGAATGTTATAGAGGTTATCTATCAAACAAATGGATTAACATTAAATAACAAAACAAAAAAATTACATAACTTGAAATTTCCCTAGTAATCGCACACTGTGTATAGACTATTTAATTATATAATTATCAAGACAGTATATTTTATTTACTATATTTTATTAAGGTTGTTTGGACGAAAAACAGAAATAAAACATTTGCATTAAAACGTATGAAAAAACAGCATATTGTACATACACGTCAACAAGAGCACATTTGTTCAGAAAGACAAATAATGTTAGAACTTCGATGTCCATTTATTTGTCGGTAAGTAAATATAAACTTTAATTTATAAGAAATTTTATCATATTTTGTTTATACTAGAGAATTTCTCCAATAAAGTAAATATAAGCATTTGTTTAATAGTTAGTATCTCTTAATTATTGTCAGATATTTGATTCATAATAATAATAATAATAACAATAATAATAATAATAATAATAACATTAATAATATGGAACTTTCTGTTCTTCAATTATCTTTTGAAAACGTTTTGATGGAGATCATGAACCGATTGATGTTAGATCACCGTTGTAAACCTGGAAGCACTGTAAGGTTGTTTCGTCCTATTGTGGGACTCCTCAGCAGTGCGGATCCACGATCCCTCTCGCGGGATTCGAACCCAGGGCCTCCGGTCTCGCGCGCGAACGCTTAACCTACTTGACCACTAGGCCAGAATCCAATTTTGTTAGTGTCTAACCTCAACCAATCCACGAAACTGCGTGACCATCTTCCATTGTAATGAGGTCGATACCTGTCTCTACCCGACACGAATTAGCTCCACTGGCCACGGCTTCTCACCAAAACTTCGAGAATTCCCTCACGAAGCTAGTCACTATTGAGTACATGTTAATTATCAGTATAAGGGTTGTGAAGATTATTATCAAAAACTTAATAATCTCCACAACCCCTATACTGATATCCTTTGAAAAATGTTTTGTTTGAATTATTGAAATAAAAGTCGATACTGATCACTTTACAGTCAATCAAATAGTGTTGGTTTATCAGGGAGTAAGTTTTTGAAAATGACCTAATTATAACTGGACCATTATTCAAATAGAATGTTAGGCTTTTCAAAACTAGTTTATAGAATTTCATCCAGAATATGAATAAAACATTTTTAAAAATAACATTGACTTATTTTAATATTTATCAATAATCTTTTAACTTCAGTCAATTAATAAGTTGTCAGTAGTATAGGATATGATATAAATGTACATCTTTCCTAAATCCCGCTGTTCATATTAGCACGACGAATGTAGACTAAAAAATTCAAAGCTAACAGTGTCATCAAATAATGTCGATGACAGTGAAAACGGAACATAAAAAATCTAGTTCATGAAACAATGATTAAACCAGAAAACGTAAATTCTGAGATAATATTGGAACTATGGATTTAGTTGTAGATGAAGAATGAATGTATCTTTATCATTCTGACCGATTTCAAACTAATATTATGTATTGTGTACAATGGTAAACTGTAATAATTTCGGTGGTCTCAGTTAGAATTTTTGTTCGACTGCAAGTAATAATTGTGGATTTACGCATTCATTTTAAAATGTTTACTGTTTTATATGAAAGAAATGTTTTGTTTCATTTAATAACTATATCATAATATATACCCCATACTTTGAAAATACAAAAATATAACAGCGTATTGTATGCATTTATGAACATAGTTACGGTATTGGACATTCAATTATCATTTGTGCCATCTGCCATTTATTAGTCCGTATAATTACTACTCCATGTAACTGGTTATTTCTAACTGTTATATCATGACTTCTCTGAAAATTACTGATAATTTATTGACTAGAAAATGTATTAGTCAGTTTAATGAATTGAATTTAAGTATTTCGTTATTTTCTACCATTACAGTCTATCTAATATAGTGAAGTCAGTATATTCATTACTGAAAATGATTTATTCAAATAAACACTTTTCTTATTTTTAGTTGATTTAATAAAATTACTGAATGTTTTGAATGTTCATAACAATGGATCTATAAATTTTATAAGTTATACATTCAATAGTTGTTGATTCTTATTCATTTCATTCGGTTCTTACTCATTCAATTTATGTACGTCCATGTATTATATAATTTCGAAATAACAAAACATACTTTCTCGAAATTAAAAGTGACGACATATTAGATGTATCTTTATGAGGGCTATAGACATAATTTTACACTCATTGCAAATCGAATGTTTTTTGTTGTCACTGTAGAAAACTGTATGATTGTGGATTTACAGTCGGTTACACCTAAAGTGATATTAACGAATTACCTGAGTTATGGCTGTTCTGGAAAACAGATTTATTGACTTAAAGTCTCAATAAGTGGTTGTCTCAAGACCGAAAAACTGGGCAGAAGCGAATTAGAAAAATGGCACATATATACATAATGTTTAGCTCGAAAATGAGCATGATTAAAAACGTTGATCAACGTGAGAAGTCATTCCATAGCTATCAACCTTGCTTCATACCACTCACATCATTTATCGATCATGATGCAAGTCGGGACCACTTGATACTGTACAGACAGAGGGTTAAAACTGTGGTATGGGAATTAAGTGGTCCAAACTATTTTTTTATTTAACAAATGTTCAAGTCTAATAATGAATGTTTAAATTGCTTAATATTTTAATAAACGTTTACTAGTTGTAACCTATACGTCACTCAATTCGCACACTATAAAGTAAATCGCAAGTCGAATAATTCCCTTTCTTCTTACTTGAGTTGAGTACTTGAAATGTAGATATCAACTAAAAAGTCAGTGTTTGAAGCATTTAACGTACATATATTACAACAATTTAAAACATGTATCAACTTACAATATGTATATATACAGAAGAATAAAATTACTTACTTACTTACGCCTGTTACTCCTAATGGAGCATAGGCCGCCGACCAGCATTCTCCAACCCACTCTGTCCTGGGTCTTCTTTTCTAGTTCCATCCAATTCTTGTTCATTCTTCTCATGTCTATTTCCATTCCCCGGAGTAATGTGTTCTTTGGTCTTCCTCTTTTCCTTTGGTCTTGAGGGTTCCACGTGAGGCCTTGTCTTGTGACTCAGTTGGGTGCTTTCCTCAATGTGTGTCCTATCCACTTCCAGCACTTCTTGACTTCTTCCTCCGCTGGGATCTGGTTTGTTCTCTCCCACAGTTGGTTGTTGCTAATAGCGTCCAGCCAACGGATCCGAAGTATTTTGCGTAGACAACTGTTAATAAACACCTGTATCTTCTGGATGATGGCTTTCGTAGTTCTCCAGGTTTCTGCCCCATACAGTAGAAGTGTCTTGACATTTGTATTGAAAATTCTGACCTTGGTGTTGGTTGACAGTTGTTTTGAGTTCTAGATGTTCCTCAGTTGTAAATATGCTGCTCTTGCTTTACCGATTCGCCCTTTCACATCTGCATCAGACCCACCATGTTCATCAATGATGCTGCCCAAATATGTAAAGGTTTTTACATCTTCCAAATCTTCTCCGTCAATTGTGACTGGATTGATGCATGCTGTGTTGTATCGGAGAATCTTGCTTTTCCCTTTGTGTATATTGAAACCTACTGCTGCTACACTGGTCGTTTTCTCCTGCATTTGTTGTTGCGATAGCGATAGGAGGACCAGATCATCTGCGAAGTCTAGATCGTCCAACTGCATCCTAGATGTCCATTGTATCCCGTGCTTCCCTTCAGATGTTGACGCCTTCATGATCCAGTCGATCACCAGGAGAAAGAGAAAGGGTGAGAGTAATCAACCTTACCTGACACCAGTCTTTACGTCGAACGAGTCTGCCAATTGTCCTCCATGCACAATTTAGCAGATTAATCCATCATAGGAATTCAGTATGATATTGACTATCTTCTGAGGCACGCCGTAGTGTCGAAAAAGCTTCCATAGTATTGTTCTGTCCACGGTGTCAAATGCTTTTTCGTAGTCAATGAAGTTGATGTGGAGTGATGAATTCCATTCAATTGATTGTTCCACTATGATCCGTAGAGTTGCGATTTGGTCTGTACACGATCTATCCTTACGGAATCCTGCCTGTTGGTCTCGAAGTTAGGTGTCTACGGAGTCCTTCATTCTATTTAACAATACCCTGTTGAAGACTTTTCCCGGTATCGAAAGAACAGTTATGTACCTGTAGTTATCACAGTAGCTGAGATCACCTTTCTTTGGTATTTTGACCAGAAGTCCTTCTTTCCGGTCTGTTGGTAGTTGTTCCTCATCCCAAACCTTTCTGAAGAGAATGTGGAATACACTGTAACTATTTATTACAGTCAGTCATCTCTGATAACAAGATATAATACTAAGTAGTATTAGATTTCAAAACACACTTTATGAAACTACAAGATGCATAGAAAAGTAAAACATTAGGTTATGCTAATTTCAGTTGGAACAACAATTAGCCGAATATTTAGCCCGGGAATTTAAAATGAATATAATTAACACATTAATATATGTATTTTTAATAACAATATTATTCTTGGATTGGTTGAGGTTAGACATTAACACCGTTGGATGCCGGCTCAGTGGTCCAGTAGGTTAAGCGTTCGTGCAAGAGACTGAAGGCCCTGGGTTTGAATCCCGCGAATGGGATCGTGGGTGCGCACTGCTGATGAGTCCCACGGCAGGACGAAACGGCCTTCCGGTGCTAACAGGTTTTCAGTGGTGGTCTAGCACCAATCGATTCATGATCTCACTCAAAAATAATATTACTGGTCTAAGATTAATTCATATAGACATTGACAAAAAAATTTATGTAGTAATTTTTCTGAAATCCAATTTTTCAGTTAGAGGATTAAAATGAAAATTTTAATTAATAATTTATTTCTAAGGTCAAGATACTATTTCCCTTTGAGATTTAAACTAAAATCATATTAATTCAATTAAAATCAAGACAGTGTATATTAGAATATAACGAAATAACTAGGGGCTATGGTTAGAGAGAGAGAGAAAAAAAACATACTAAGTAGACGAAATAATGATCTATTAACATTTTGCTTCTCTCTTGGTTTCTAATCAAAATGTACCAGTATTTTACTACTGTAATTGACCAATCTACCCAAGTGTATGATAGCTAGACTTTCTTGTTTTAAATATATATGGTATATATGATAGAAACAGCTTACTTTCTTTACTAAGAGAAAAATAGTCTTTGAAAGCTTTCTGAGTATGATGTTCCATGTTGAATTGATACAGACAAATATGATGTATTTGAAAAATACATTAAAAACTAGTTATAATTCTGCAGAGAACATTTTAAAAAATATTGTGACACAAAAATCATATCAATAATATTAGGGTAAAGAAAATAATTAATGACTGAACTATTTGTTAACGTACAGTATTTCACTATCTGTTAACAATAAGTCAAGACAGTAAGATATGTATTAATTTTAACTTGATTTATCCACGGTCAGGATTGTGATTTTATCAGGAGAAACATTTTGTCATTTGTTGACATCTACCAAGCAGATACAGGGATATATGCTGATTGGCTGTGAATATTCAATGTCAAAAAACGTAGCTTAATGATCATATTACTTGGCATAACTTACATTTTGAATATCGATTACTTAGCATTTGTCAAAGTGCTCACATAACAAGGGTTGTGTCAAATGATATGACATCTTTAAAAATTGCGCATTTTTGATTAATTTTATCATATGAACTAACTTGATAATCTTTTAACTATATGATCAGATCTAACTTTTAGTGATAAAATCAGTTCAAAACTATGTTCCAGAATCTTAGTAACACTAACCGAACCGTCTTCATTAATGATCACAGATAAATATCAGATGGGTTTTGTGGATATTATAGTAATTTCAATGGTTAAGATCATGAGTCAGTTGAAGTTAGATCACCATGGAAAACCTGAAGGCACTGGACGGCTGTTCCGTCCTGTTGTGGGACTCCTCAGCAGTGCGCATCCACGACCTCGCCTCCTGTGAGATTCGAACCCACGACCTACTGGTTTTGCGCGCGAGCACTTAACCACTAGACCACTGAGCCGACATCCAACAGTGTTAATGTCTAACTTCAACTAATCCACGAAATTGAGCGACACATCCACGATTGTCTTCAGTGAGTTACTATCTTACAACAGACCTGGTTGAACTCCGCTGGTCACTACTTCTCACTAGAACTCCAGATAAAACAACAAATCTTAGTTATATTACAAGTGGATTTTGTTTAGGTCATGGGTTCGAATCTCGTCGAGGGCGGGACCATGGACGCACACTATTGAGGAGTCCCATACTAGGAAGAAACGGCCGTCCAGTGTTTCCAGGTTTTCCATGGTGGACTAGCTTCAATTGACTCATGATTTCAACTATCGAAATCAATAATTATTGAGATTAGATTATGTAAGTTTTAATGTGTCGTTTAATTTTATTTTTTCTACTATTTAATAAGTTAGTTTTAGCTTTGAAATAGAATGTTTAAATTTGCTCGTGAACTACCGGAAATTTTCAGAGATAAAATGTCCAGAAAATTTGATTTATTCATTCAGTTGATTTGTACTGGTAAAAAAATTATAGGTTATAATAGATTAGCATTGTTATTTATTAATGACATCAATGTGTTTCATTACTGTCCCATACAATACAAACAAGCTTTCTTACAATATATTTCAGTATGATATACACAATTTTATATTTGTTATTCATATATTTTCAATGTTGAATGTTTCTAATCTTTGTTAATAGTTTTCTTACACTTTCACTATTTTAGACTTTACTGTACATATAAAGATAATAAATTTGTATACATGCTGTTGGAAGCTTGTTTAGGTGGTGAATTATGGACAGTTTTACGAAATAAGTGAGTAAATATTTTGTTAAATTTGTCTTCTTTATGAGTTAATATCTATTTTATAACAGATAATGTTATATATATAGTCTATTAGTAATCAGTAGTAAATTTTTATTAGCCCTTAGTTCAGACTGAATTCTATCGATCAAGTTGCAATGTATCCATTAATCTGGATGACTCTACACCGCAAATATTATATCTGATGTTAGGCGGTTATATATAATGTCTCAGACCGTATAGCTAAGTGATATAAGCTCGAATCTGATAGGGAAAATCAGTTCCTTCAAGACTACAGACATACTTTTCTGATGAATGTCAGCGAACACAAAATCTATGTTTAGGGTTTCTTACTGAATGACTTCAGCTATCTAACACTAAAATATAGAATACTGATGCTGAAAATATGATCTGTTGGATTTCAACTCGGTATAATTAATCTTAGATTAAAAGAATTTTTGTTTGATAATTCATCTGATTATCACCAGTGTTGTTCTGTCATTAATTAGATATGTGAAAAGTTCACAGTAGGTTATATATGAAAACATTATAGAAAGAATATTCATTGTTAATAATTAACAAGAGTACAAATTTATTTGATCGAATCAATTATTAACTAACTGATTACTTTTAATTGAAGTGATAATGCACAATGCAAAGAGAAAAATAGGCGATAAAAAGTAGGTGAAGGTTAAATAAGATATTTATTAATTTTTGTATCAGAACAGATAGGATTGTATTTAGATTATTACAAATCATCATTGTAATCTACCATTAAAAGTTTAGAAATAACAAATTCATGCAACAACTATCATCTAAATTTAATCAGATAGTTTCACAGCATTCGGGTGTCGAGTTGATGTGACATATTAAGAAGGGAGAATGTATTTGTAAAATTTCAGAGAATGAATTCCAAGTACATCCAACATTTCACTTGACAATCTGGTTCAAGCTTTTCAACGACATTTAATCAAACATCAGGATTATCAAATATAAATAAGTATATGGTTCTCTGGTTAACTGTATATTGAATAGGTTATTCAATCACGTTAACAATGTTTAAAGTAGGAATTCGCTTTAATGTGTATGAACCATGTGATTTGAAATGAGAATAATGTTAAGATAATAGATTGTTTGTATTGTGTGTAAGTGGATCTGAGTTGTAATAAGAAATTTCATTCACTATTTATCGCCTCATTAATTCATCATCTACTGAAGTGATAAATAATTAAATGCTGATGAAAGATACTGGCTATTAAAATCATATACAATGTTTTGACTAAGTACAATTTGAATATATGTTAGAGAAATATTTACTTTAATATTGCAGAAGTTATGCTGAAAATTATGTACTACAAAGAAATTTCTAGTATTATGTAAAGGTATTACTACTATTTCTAATACATCTACATGTGATCTCATTGAAAAATAGTTTTTCAAGATTACGCTTTCATATGAATGTAAAAAAAAGTTTTGTTTTACAAATCATTGATTCTCTAGACTGTTGATTATTAACTCTATTCGTGGATTGGTTGAAACTAGACATCAACACCGTTGGATGAGCGCGAGACTGATAGGTCGTGGGTTCGAATCTCACGGGGCGAGATCGTGGATGCACACTGCTGAAAAGTCTCATACTAGGATGAAACACCCGTCTAGTGCTTCCAAGTTTTCCATAGTGGTCTAGCTTCATTCGACTCGTGAATTCCATTATTAAACTCTATTTAGCTCAATAATGATTTTATAAGGCGTGTTATGCTCATTTTGATTCAATGTTCACTTTGACTATTTTGCCAAATTTAACGTAGATTATTCGTCAAGTAAAATTATCAATAATTCATTTGAGGTAATATACTTAGATGAGTCTAACTGACAAAAAAGTAGTAATAATAATAATATTTCAAAAGAAGGTTATTAGAGTTTACTTTACTTAGTTTGTTTTTCAGTCCGTAATACTTCATTCTTTTAGCGATGATGTTAAATTTTTTATGGAGTTTAGTCCAAAATAATATTGAGAAAAATAAAAACAATTTACTATATCTTTCAAATAAGAAAAATAAGTTTTTTGTCTTTCTGTTGGTTTCAAAATGTTATTGAGACTACCAATCAAACTAACTCGGGTAAACATTGGAAACTAGGAAGCACTGGATAGCTGCTTCTTTCTATTATGGGACTCCTGAACACTGTGTATCCACGATCTAGCCACCGGGTGTAGAATCTATAATCTTCATCTCCCGAATTAACAGTTTAGCCGTCAAACCATTAAACAGGCACTTGATGGTTTACATGTCTAAATTCAAACAATCCACGGGATAGTGCAACGATCTTCCATTGTCTTTGGTGGGTAACTGTTTCACACCTGACACGGTTAAACTGCACTCGTCATGGGTGCTCAGAAGAACTCTGGGAATTACCTCATGATATTAGTCACTAGTTAGTATGTGATAATAATTACTCTTATACTTATTTTAGGATCCCCACTCAACTTTCGTATTTTATATTTTATAAATAAGACAAATCAACGAATCAATTCAGAGATGCTAATGGAATACCATATTATTTATAAATCAACTTTACTTAACACTAATAATAGTGGAATTACAGTAGTTATTGTCAAGTGATTATTTCGTGAATTTTACTTTCTACGGCGATTAGAATTAGTGATTACTCTTATAACTGGACTGATTACTGAAGCAAATTATATGTTTTAGGGGTAAAATGGTCAAAATAGGTCTTTCTACGATTGTAAACATAATGTCTTAGTTACTATCTCTAAGAATAAAACAGATAGTATACCAATACTGGATTGTTTCAAACACAAAGTAAATAAGTTACCATATGTTAAGGAAAATAAATGAACGTGTTTATGCCATCCTGTACAATTATTAAGTCTTTTGTGACTAACATCTGCATTTTGCTCAGTCTTTTTGCCATCACTTGTAAACATGACGCCTGCGTAGACAACTTGTGATATTAATCAGTTTCCTAGAAGTAATCATTGTCATTATTACCGAGTTCCTAGTTTTAATGAGATTCCACTGTTTTACATTATTGTAATCAAACGTATGATTCAAATCCCATAGAAACATAGTTCTAGGCTGAATAACTTATTAATACTAACTCTATTTACATCATTTTATGGATCGAGTTCAAATAATTTCTAGAACCTTGTTGATAATTAATAAAATCTAGCATAAGTGTACCAAATAGGGATTGTTGTCAATTTATCTTAAAGATAATCTATTTAAAATATGTAAACATACAATTTTAAAAAATGGTTGCTGTTTTTTTTTAACTCTTCAAGAGGTCGATTTGATGATGTTATGACACGTTTTGTGGTTGCTTGTGTTTTGGAAGCGTTCACTTATTTACACACACAAGGCATATTATATAGAGATTTAAAACCAGAAAATTTACTTCTTGACCATAAAGGTTATGTGAAATTAGTAAGTCTTTCATTTTTAATTGAATTTATGTATTAAATGAATATTGTAGTAAATATTGTCACATTTTTGTTTCTTAACTTTCATAATCAGTTTTACCGAATATATCTTATACTGTATTTAGTTTGATGATATATTTTAACTAATAGTAAAGTATCAGAAGGAGTTTTGTGGATATTATAGTGATTTAAATAGGTGAGATCATGAGTTAATTGAAGCTAGACCACTATAGAAAACTTGAAAGCAGTGGACGGCCATTTCGTTCCAGCATGGGACTCCTCAGCAGTGCGCATCCACGATCCCGCCCCGCGAGATTCGAACCCACGACCTATCGGTCACTCGTACAAACACTTAACCTCTAGACCACTGAGCCAGCATCTAAAGGTGTTAATGTCTAACCTCAACTAATCCACGAAATTGAGCGACACACAGAAAAGTCATCATTCTAGTGAATAAACAGACAGATCAAGAGTTGTAATAAATTAGTATCACTATTCAAATCGATTTGTAATATTATTAGAAATTATTAAGACGAAATCAAAATATTGGATATGTAATGTAAACAAAATGATTCTTAAATGAAATGGATAAACATACTTGTAATGTACCATTTAATGAAAGTAGGTTTTATCAGTAAATTGATAATTCCTATATTTAATTTACTATAAATTAGAAATCCACAAGGTGATTATTTTCAATTTAAAGTCCATAATAATCGGGGTAAACTAGTTTGTATTTTAACCAACTTATCATATATATATTGATGCAGGTAGTTCTGACTCTTATCGTTTTTTTTGTGAGTTATAGATAATACTAATCTGTCGAAACTTAAATAGGCAAAACGAGTTCTGAATTTACAATCTGTTGGTTAAAATCTGAATGTTCAAACTAATTAACTTCCACTAACTCAATATGTAGGTATAATCTATGTAGACGTCAACGGAGTGCTATACTTAATGGTGCCAAGAGCACCTTCGAAATTAGTTATTTCAATCTATTATTTATAATTACTTTTCTGAATAAACCTGCACTAGTATAAGTGAAGAATTAGGGTTATAAGTTAAAGCTGGAGGTTAAGGTTAGGAATTAGAGTTAGGGTTTTCACCACAAACCGATATCAACTGTAACGCCAAAATGTTATTTAGTTATATTTATGGATGAATTACGTGCCAAAATTCAACACCTACTGTCTCAAATCTCATTGGTTCGTTCATATATTATAGTCTCATCGATTTCTTAGTTAATAATATTCGTATGTAGTTAACTTCATTGATCTATCTATCTATCTATATATATAATACTCCGACCCTTAAATTAATCAGGAGTTTATCTAAAGATTAATCACTATCTGGTAAATAGTCAACATCAAGTTCATCGCATTTATTTTAATACAGTTGAGAATATTTATTTTATAATGTGACTATTATTCAATCTAAGAGTAGTTTGTTCAATCTGGATGACTATTTCAAGTGTATACTTCTACAACATTTCAGAATAGAAGAAAGTAATTGACCAGTAATCTTGGTTACTTTATATTTAATCAACCGATGATTATGCTTGATGTGTACTTTTTGGATACAAATGAACTAATCAATTGGTATAATTCTTTCCAACTTTATACTATAAGTTAAATTAGGTTTCCAATGAAACTAAGCATTAATTAATCATCTCGACGCCATTATTAAAATTAAATTAATTAAACAACTAAATATCCGACAAACATTTTAAAAAAATACTTTGATGTCACTATTTAGTGTATATTTTTGATGATAATGCTTGTTATAAAACAATCTTATATTCAATTATTTTATACAACTTTATCAATTAAATCAATCCTAATGCCCCTGGTGATAATGATCAATTATGACTGAGATAAAATTTCTAATTTCTCTGTCTAACTTTAGTAAACTTAACACAATTTTCTTCCTTATTAATTTGATCGATCATTGCACAGTTTGTCGCACATATATCTTTCAGTTAAATTACATTTAATGCAAATTTAATTGTTTTCTATGTATAAATGAGCTAAAGGAAAAAGTAATAATAATAATAATAATAATAATAATAATAATCCTATAAATAGAGGTTAATTCAATAAAATGACTTAAAAATTGTTTCATTCATCTTAAAATGAAGATAATAAACCTTGAAAATAAACATATAAAAAATAAGTGAATAAGCTTAATCTCACTCTATTTCTCTCCTTCTCTCTCTATCTGAGTCTGAATGTGTATATGTATGTCTCTTTAGTTCAATTAATTTCATCTGAAAATCAATAATGAGTAGTAAATCGGCAGGAAAAATCAAATAACCAAAAAGTTTTCTTTTAACAAAACGTAGAGAAAAAATAGATGGTTTTATTCGATAGTTAAACATCAATCAAATAAGCAGCGATGAATGATGGCTAGCAGTGGAATCCAGGACGCGCATTTCGTCCTATTTGGGACTCGTCAACTGGATGTACCTGCATCCAAGAGATAATGTTTACTCCGGGAATTCAACCCGGTATTGTTCGCTTCAAACGCTATCGCGTTATCCACTTAGCTACTGAGTTCAGATAGTCACTAGCTTGTACGATGAGTTAACTTGCCTACGAAAATTTAAAATCTATCCATTTCTTGCTTAATATTATACAAAAATCTATTTAATAGTACAATAACCTGACCAATCATGCAATGTAATACATAAATAATCAGTTTTAGAATTTTTAAAATAATTTATTCAGGTTATGTCGAACTGTGCTGTAAAATGAAGTAGATTTGAATATTTCATATTTTGTTTTTACAAATGCCGTGGCACGATCGAGGGTGGGGAGAGTAAGCTCTCTCGAAATGCTCTCATATGGCTACATGCATATAACCACTGCAAGGGACGTTCTCACTTCATCCTCGCGACGGGGTGTTGGCCACGAAACTGAAAGGACGAAACGTGAATGTTGGGTGCTTAAACCGGGTTGATGGATATATAGGATCCACCTAAGGGAGTTGGAAAACCCTCATTCCAAACCAATGGTGCACATGGGCTCCAGGATCCTGAAGCAATAAATGGCGTATGAACACACTATTGGTCACCAGCTACCATGGGACTGCGTCTACTAACGTTGCCCTACTCTCTTGTGGATTATACCTGTAGGTCAAAGGCTCGAGGAATGGCCCCCTGAGAAAACCACCTGCTTCACTTTAGACACCCAAGGAGTATCACAGCTCGCATACAAATCCAATGACGAGGTGTGGTGCATATGTATTCGGTCCCCCTTTGTCCCAATATTTATGTGTTCAAATAAATAAATAAATCACACTGATCCTGGAAGATATTGATATTTCCATTGAAATTCTGAAATAGTACTTTAGAAATAAAGTTAGCTGGATTTTAAATTTCTAGTAAATTTATAAATAATGGGATACCGTATATCAAATTGAATATCCCACAAAATATATAGGCTTCTATAACCATTAAAGTCTCCTCTTATTCATTAGTTAGACATTATCTTAAAGAAAATATTTCTTTATTTTTAACAGATGACTTAATAAAGCTCATATGAGTGATATATAATTAAAAAATATTATTGTTCTGTAAGTATACTGTCCAGATAATAAGACTGATTGTTATTTGGATTCTAGATTCCCAGTCGTATATGAATAACTGCAGTTAGTGAACAGATAAATATAGACTTATTCTTTGAAACTTCTAACTGATCATTAATCGAGATATAATTATCTTACCGGTCTTGGCTTTCTTTGAACTCAATAAACACGAGTGCCAACTATATGTACTTACGTACTATTACAAATGAGTTACATATTATTCCGAAGCTAAATACTAGAAAATACAGAGAGAAACACTACAGTTTGTGACATGGTATCCTTTTCATTCATCCTTTGGATAAATCAGAGATAAATATATTGAAAATTAAACACTTTATATATAATACGCGTTATTAAATATACCTGTTATGAATTATTTTAGTGTGACTTTGGATTCGCCAAACGAGTTGGACATGGTAAAAAGACCTGGACATTTTGTGGCACACCTGAATATGTCGCACCGGAAATTATTCTAAATAAAGGACACGATAATTCAGCAGATTATTGGTCACTAGGTATTCTTATTTATGAATTACTTACAGGAAGGTAAACTTATTTTTGTTACATATCAATACTCTATGAGTGTTAATTCACATATTTTATTAATAAAGTTAAAAATTATTGTTACGTATCGAGCTTTACTTTACATGTTCGAGATTGGTATAAGCAATAAAAAAACTAGGCATCGGGCTTAATGCATGACTTAAGTTATAGAAATTCCGGTATAATAAGGGAAGATAGTATCATACGTGATAATAGCATAGTGTATGCTACTTATGTCGACAGACATAATTAACACTAATCAAGAATGAAATGCCTGAAAGCAGACGGTTCGGGAGAGCGAACTGAAGAGAACAGGAATGTAAACTGAAAGTAATTGTAATAGCAATGAAGGAACGATGAAGTTTCAGACAACTGATAGATTTGCTAATGAAGTATTTAATGTATAGTTTTTCACATTTTACGAAAGAACTCTGTAATTTTCCACTTAATAATAAATTGCTTTTCCCCACCTGAGTTCACGTTCACTACAATAGAACTAAAATAAAAGTAATTAATATATATATAGTTTATTATGCAAACTTCTTACTATTATGCGCTTGTGTTGGGAATATCATTTATATGTTTTCGTTTATTTATACAGTTTACTTAGCGATTTTGTTTTTTAATATGCCAAAAACTACCTAGTTTTCCGACAGTAAGAAGAAATGAGACTAAACTAGCAGTGCGTATCCACGATCCCGAACATGAAACTCGAACCTAGGCCCTTTGTCTAGCGCGAACGCTTAACCTCTAGACCTTTGAACCGGGATCCAACAGTGTTTATCGACCAATCCACAATATTGTGCAACCGTAGTTTCATTGATGCTTCATACCGCAGTATACCATTTGTAAATCGGTCTTGTCTAATTCTATAAAAACAGATTTTATAGCAGTATCACAAATAACTGAGTAGTTCATATTAAGAATGGTTTAATAATAAACGTTACACTGATATGTTGGGTGATTGAAGATAGTCTACAAGATACCGTAAACCTAGATTTTGTGCTACTTGATATTTGTCAATAAGGCGCACCTATAATCTTGACAGATGTTGAAATATCAGTACATTTTAACCAAAATGTCGGTTTTATTAAATTATGCTTTTATACAGTCTCTTTTAATTGGTTGCAACTGAAATACGTAATAGCATTGTTTTTCATATCTATTGAGAAATATGATACATTTATTTATCGCTTATTAAGATTCATACACTCATACTGATAACTAGACTGACACAGTTATTCCAAATGAAAGTTCACCTCGAAATATTCACACTTCAGTAGTATTTCAACAGATCAACTTCAATGGTTACTTGTTTGTTGAATGTATCACCGAAAAAGAATATGATGTGACATTTGATTCATATCATATATAAAAATTGTGTTTTCTTAAAAATCCACCTATCAGAAGCGATAAATAGTGAATGAAATTTCTTCTTACAACTCAGATCCACTTACACACAATAGAAACAATCTATTATCTTAACATAATTCTCATTTCAAATCACATGTTTCATACACATTAAAGCAAATTCCTACTTTAAACATTGTTAACGTGATTGAATAACCTATTCAATATACAGTTAACCAGAGAACCATTTACTTATTTATATTTGATAATCTCGATGTTTGATTAAATTTCGTTGAAAAGCTTGAACCAGATTGTCAAGTGGAATGTTGGATGTACTTGGAATTCATTCTCTGAAATGTTACAAATACATTCTGCCTCCTTAATATATCACATCAACTCGACACCCGAATGCTGTGAAACTATCTGATTAAATTTAGACGATAGTTCTTATATATTATGATATTGTTTTAATAATTAAATCCAGAAAATAACTGCTGCTAAAAAGATAAACTCTCCTGAATCTCGACTCGGTAGTTCAGAGGTACTACTGTTGATTCAAGGTTTAAAAATCATATGGTCTAAAGTCAACTGAAAAAACATTAGTTGCCGTAAATCCAAGAACAAATTAAGATCTGTGAAGACAACCAATGACATAGAAAGCTATATAAATAAGCTGACATAGAACATATGGAAAATTCACTTCTACTTGAAATAAACACTGATCTAGTTGTTCAAAACAATGGTGAAACTTAATCAATTAAATCATCTACCTCAGAGCATTCAATATCATTAAAAAACATTTAACTGAGCTGCATGTATTCTCATTCACTTAAAGATATACGACTGAATCAAGTTTATGATTGTAATCACTGTGAACTAATTACTACATATTTCTAAATCTTGTAATTGTCCTCATTTTTTTATACTTCGCCAATGTATTGCCAACTGGTGTGGAAAAACAATTTTTTTTCTAGTCCCTTGATTTGTTATTTATTTACGCTTTATTATCGTTAAAAAATCGATTTATGAAAAATAGACAAGTCGGTTAGGCATATAGGCAGATAAACAGATATTTTTTGGATAATGTATTCTTAATACAAAGAGTGATATTTCGAGCGTATATTTCACTTCAGCTATCTGTTATTACTTAATTTTTATCTGGTCACTTATTAGATGAATTATCATTCGTTGTGTAAGTGAGTTAATCCAGATTGTTTATTATTCTCTCAGTGTTTCATTGACTCTTCATTAGAGGATGTTTTTTAAAGTATGAAAAAAGCATCTCAAAAAAGCAATAGACCTTAACATTTAACGCGTAAATTAACTACTTACTTATCCCTCGTGGATGAGCATAGATCACCCACAGACAATCTCCATTCAACTCTATCTTCGATAATCCTTACCAGTTATTCTCAATCGCTATTCATTCTTTTCATGTCTACTTCCAATTATCGACGAAGTGTGTTCTATGGCCTCCCGCATTTTCATTTCCCTTCACGATTCTCTGTGGGAAAATAACCCGTGATATACTTTGATGATTTCCACGATGTATATCGTATCCACCTCCAACATGTTTTTCTAATTTCCTCTTCAACTGGAAACTGATTTGTTCTTTCCCAAAGTGGGTTTTTGCTGATCATATCCGGTCAACGGACAATGAGTATCTTACGTATACAATTGTTTATCAATACTTGTACTTGTCACACACGTTGAAAACGATGCAGTCACTTGATGGTGACATTGAACAAATATTGTATGTCATATCGCAAGCTGATTGTAAAATTGCAACGTTACCTATAAGATTGGTAGATGTACATCTCATGTATTCCTTTTTTGGAATCATAGGTGTTCACTGCGAATGAAGCCTGTGAACTAAAATAAAGACAGTTGTTTAGTAGTGTCTTCTGGATTTCAATGGCTCGCAATTTGTTTTCACTTCATTTTAGAAATTAGTTGTAAAACTAAGAACCTGAAATCTTTTCTTCTCTAGTTTGAGGATTCAAAATTGCTCTTACCATCAGTCATACGAGTTGTTGTATTTTGATAATTAATAGATTAATCATATATTTTCTGCCTCTCTAACTGTTCTTTAACGATTTCATCTTTTCCAGAGGAGTAGCTAAAATTGGTTATGAGTATAAAATCTTCAAACGTTTTGCTTATATTTCGGCTGTTTAGTGATCATTAGTTGTAGACATCCCTGTTTTACAGGAGGTTAGCTGTGACCCGAATAGCTTATCCGTAAAGTCTCAGACTATGAAGCTACGTGAGGCTGATTAAAGCCTACATGGGGCGTCAGTGCCCTCCATATTAGAGAATTTCCTTACTGATTTTCGTCAACTAACACAAAACCTAGTTCCAACGTTTCCTGCCTCTTGTGTAAAATCAAAACGTAGTGCATGAGATGTTGAGTAACTTAGACTAGTAGGTAGTCAGATTTTAACTCGATCGATGAAATTCAGTTAACAATTAAGAGATCAGACAAACATGACACTAATCAATACTCAGCGACCATCCAATTTTATGTACATTTTATAATTTACTTACTCTTTGAATAACGTTTTTTCACTGGAATTATAGTCTAAACAAGTGAAAACTTTTATTCTTTAGAAAAACAAAGACGTTTTCATTGCAATTTCTAAGTTTTGAACATATTGTGTAATTTTATGCCAACTGTTTCTCAAATGTTTATCTGTGTGCCCTATATAGTTTATAAATTCTGTACCTATCGTTAACAAGTTACTTTATTATTTTTAATGTTCTCTCTACCTTTTATTCCTTTTTACAGTCCACCATTTACTGGTACTGATCCAATGAAAATCTATAATGTTGTTCTGCGGGGAATAGATTGTGTTGAATTCGATCCATCGAATATAAGTCGAACTGCAACTACACTTATTAAACGTTTATGTGCACAGAATCCAGCTGAACGGTTAGGATATGGACGAGGGGGAATAATCGATATTAAACAAAATAAGTGAGTGATAATATATATGAAATTTCTGTTTCTGTTCAATTACTATGAGTACCAACTTCATATCGTGAAAACTACAACGTTAATTATAATTTGACTAATCCCAGGGTTATAATTACACTTTATTAGCATATCGTATTGATTTAAATAATAGATTTCGCATAATCAATGATAAGTAAATGGTTGTTCCTAGTTTAACAGTACTCAGTAATGAACTTTTTTTCTTCATCCCAAGCAAAATTAAACTCAGAATCGACAAGTTTAGCAGTTAGTAAATTTTGAACATCGATAAATGCTTGATGTAGTAAGATTTTCACCTAATGTCATCATTGCATCACTTTTGATTTTTTGCTGACACATTCGAAAATTTTTCACCTATGACCAAGGATATCGTACTGACTGTGATAATTGAAGTACTTGCGTCTAATTCTATGTAATGTTGCAACTACATACCATTCAGAAGTTAAAAAGACATAAACAACTGCGCTCATAAGTTTTTTTCTAAATGATATCAATTATGGACAAAAATCGCGTTCAACATATCCAAACTGTGTTTTTTTGGGACCTGATTATTTCATTTAAAACGATTCACATAATGGTACTCTATGAATGATTGTATCAAAGATGATTATACAAAAAACAAAAGTGGGACAGTTAAAAACACACTTCTAAACTGTAATTATATTATATTTAGGCTTAAACTGTCACATATGTTCAGTTATAATGTCATTAACAGATATTTGAAATAAAATGTCAATTATACATGTAGTTTTAAGCATATTATAAATTATGTTCTTACAATTCTCATTGATTGTGAATAATTCATTTGTATATGTTATGCCGCGATAAGAATAATGAGTGGCAATCTTTGGGATCCATTTGTGGACCAATACTATATAATTGTTAATTGACTAAACTATTCTTATCGATTAAATGTTAAATATTTCTATGGCAGTCGATTGACTAACTTATCAATTAAATGTTTAAAAAACCGTTCATGGCAATATCGATTATACACATATAATTGATATATATATATATATATATATATATATATATATATATATATATATATATATATATATATATATATATACGCTTTGAATTGTGTTTGTGGGATCGCTCGTTTCTGGATGTCTGCAGAATATACTTTCCCATTCCAAGCTTGGACTTCTCCCTTTAGTTATCGGGCCTGGGACGCATCAATAGCTAACTTGCCGGTTTTTGATCACTGAGTCTTTGTTCTCGTCCGCAGATTAAGTGAACTCATGATAACTTCAAAGCTAGCAGTATACAAATAAAAGGTTTATTTTCTTATTATAGGCAGTCGAAAATAGTATCAGTGATTTTAAAAATCAATATAACTAATTCATCTTATTGACTGTTACAGTATTTATAATGTACAGGAGTTTATAACGCATATAACTACTAAACTGATTAAAGAGGATAGATATAAGAGAACATTCATAAAATAATCATTTTCTCTTTAATTTCAAATTGTGTCACTATTTTCAGTGAAATATATTTCTTCTAGTTATGAATTTCATAAGCGATTGTGTTAAGGTAAAATATGATAATTCTAACTGATGGATATCTGTTCCGAATTCCTATGTTGTTTATGCTAATCTATGTGATTTAAACCAGTCTAAATTAGATACGACCGAGGGTAGGGAGAGTTAGCTCTTCCCGCCCGAAATGCTCTCACATGGCCACGTGCATACAACCACTGTCAAAGAAATCATAATCACTGCCTTCTCGCGATGGGGGTGTTATTTATGAAACTGAGAGGACGAAAAGCGAATGTTCGGTGCTTAAACCGGGTTGGTGGATATAGAGGATCTACCTATGAGAGTTGAAGAACCCTCATTCCAAACCAATGGTGCACATGGGCTCCAGGATCCTGAAGGAACAAATGGTGTACGAACCAACTATTGGTCACTGGCTACCATGTGACTGAATCTACTAACGTTGGTCTACTGTCTTGTTGATTAGACTTGTAGATCAAAGGCTGGGAGAGTGGCACCCCAAGAAAACCACCTGCTTCTGTACAGGTGCTCGAGAAGTATTTCAATTCTCGAATGATGAGGTGTGGCGCATATATATTTGGTGCTTTCTTGTACCGTTGTTTATGTGTTTAAATAATAATAATAATAGCTTGCGGGGATACATAAATTAAGAAAAAAATCACTCTCCCACTAATGATCCCTAGCTGTTAGGACAAAATGATCAGTTTAATAAACTATTAGAAAGTATCAGTCAATTAAATAATAGATATTTGATCTTAGAGTCAACTGATGTAATAAAACTATGAGAAACAATTAAAATAAGAATATTTTGTTCATTATTTATCTATAAATTATGATATTAAAGTAAGGTTATATGATATCGTTCTTGTCTAATATCGGTTTAAAAAAAAAGTCTTACACTATTGAAAATTACTAAACTAGATAAAAGACAATCTAAGTGGAAAAATAAATTGACTCTAATTTTTTCCTACTTTATTACATCATTTCCTACATGATAAATTGTATAAGAGTACAATGTTATTCATATTACATCTATTATTGATTAATAATAAGCTAATAATGATAGTACGTCATTACATATTGAATATTGAATCGAAACAAAAGGAATAATTGTCATGGTTCAAAAAGGTAAAATGATAATAATCTAAACGGCTAAAAGAGTCAATGTTTACAGGGTAAATTTTAATACTTAAAAATCAAAATATATATTTATTTCAAAACTATAAATAAATAAATGGTTTTACAATAGCTACATACAAGATTAATTTATAATGATACTAAAATAATAAAACAAACTATCAATGTTTAACATTAAATTTAAGCAGATCTTTATTGTATGGTAGTAGAAGTTCTAATGTAAGTGGTCACTGAATGTGGGCAAACAACAACTTAGCTTACCGACTACTAAGTGTGTAATTTCCTTTTCTTACTACTGATGTTTGCTCCGAACTCATTGAGTGAAAACTGCTTGTAATTGTGTTGAATAAATTATTGTCTAACCTTAATTCGGATTGTCTTTATCTGGTCATGAATCTTGTGTTTCTCATAAGGTGATCCCAGTCTGTTTAGCGTACCAAACGAATATCCAGTCTTACCTACATACTTACTTACGCCGGTTATCCCTCGTAGATGAGCATAGATCACCCACCAACAATCTCCATTCAACTCTATCTTCGATAATCCTTACCAGTTCTTCTCAATCGCTATTCATTCTTTTCATGTCTACTTCCAATTATCGACGAAGTGTGTTCTATGGCCTCCCGCATTTTCATTTCCCTTCACGACTGTCTGTGGGAAATTGACTCGTGATACACTTTGATGATTCTCACAATGTATGTCGTATCCACCTCCAACATGTCTTCCTAATTTCCTCTTCAACTGGAAACTGATTTGTTGATGGTATCCGGTCAATGGACAATGAGTATCTTAAGTATACAATTGTTTATAAATACTTGTAGTGTACGAATGCCACCCTTGCTTTGTCAGTCCTTGCCTTTACGCCTGCATCGAATTTTCCTGGTTCATCGATGATGTTCCCCAGTTAGGTGAAAGATTCGTCAACTTCCAGAGCTTCTCCACTAAGTGTGATTGGGTTAGTGTACTTCATGATATATATGAGGTTCTTAGTTTTCCTCTAGTGTATCTTGAGGCTTACTGATGCAGGGACTCCTGTTGTTACAGTGGTTGTTTTGACCTGCATTTGTTGGTGTGTATGTAATAGAAAGGCCATGTCATCAAGAAAGTCCAAATCGCCTAGCTGCATGCACTCTGTCCATTGTACTCTGTACTTCCTCTCATATGTGGAGGTCATTTTAATCCGGAATTGTCCATTCAAACATTGGTGTTTAGGTCTCCTATCAAGATGCTCAAGTCCTTCTGTGAGCACTTCACTATGATCGATTAAAGCTTCTAAAAAAACTGACATTTATCGTCTTCATTGCTAACATTGGTAGATGCAGGGCACTGGATATCATTCACTGTAGTTCCTTACTTTTTTGTTTTGAAAGATTCTTTGATGATTCTGGGTCCATGAGATTTCTATTTCACATGTGCTTTATTGGACAGCATCAGATCAACTCCCCAAGTGTGTGGAGAATTTTGGAAAAGTCTGTATGAATGGATACCGAAATTTAAGATAGAATGGAGGATAAAAAGTGGATATATCCGACCTTGTATGAACGCTTCTAAACCTTGTCACTCAGAGTCTTCATCCACTGATCGCGGTTGCTTCACGGACCCAATCAAGGTAGATCGAATCTACCGTTATGGCTAAGGCAAACAATTAGTGACTTAACAGACTGACCATACATTTTGTTCTGATCGTCCACAGTTTTCTTCCACTTTCTGCACTAGTGAGCATCGCTCATCGAAGTAGGTGGTGATTAGTAGTCACATAATGTTCTCTTTTACTCACAGATGACAGATTTGAGCACTTCTTTATACTTTGAACCATCAGTTTGAAAACTGTTACCATAAACATGATCGGAAGTAACAAATACCTAGATATATGTTGTATAAATCATTTGCCAAGTATGAAAATATCATTAACTTTTCACATTTTTTTACTGATACACTTAGATATTTTCAAGGATTTGACTGGATCGGTTTGCATCGTGGTACGTTAGCAGCTCCTATACAACCTACTGTAAGTTGTCTCCACTCATTATAAATAATATTACGTATAAAATATTTTATTTATCTTCAATACTATTCGTTATATTCGAAGTTACTCAGGATAAATTGAAAACGGGAGCTTAATTAAAACACTACCTGGTTTTCAACAACAGACTGAAGGTTTAAACTTTGCTATATAATTAGTCATCACATATGAAATTGGACTTCAGACCAAGTACATAAAGTAATGAGAGACAACTCTCCTTCTCCAAATGCTCTCACATGGCCACGCGTATAAAGAGACTGACAGGAAAGTTATACTCAGTGCTTTCTCGCGACATTATCGTTGTTTACAAAATTAAGAGGACGAAAAGCGAATGTTCGGTGCTTAAACCGGGTTGACAGATATAGAGAAACCACCTGGCGGAGTTGGAAAACCCTCATTCCAAACCAATGGTGTATATGGGCTCTAGTATCCTGAAGGAATAAATGGTGTATGAACCAATCGTTGATCACTGGCTACCATGTGACTGCATCACCTTACGTTACTCCACTGTCTTGTAGATTAAACTTGTAGGTCAAAGGCTCGGGGTGTGGCTCTCTAAGATAACTACCTGCTTCGGTTTGGACACCCGGACAGTGTTGGTAGAGGACCAAAAGATAAAGCTACAAAAGATGCTCACATCCGTACAGTATCACAACTTACACACAAATCAAGTGAATTGTGTGGCCTATATATATTCGGTGCCCCTTTGTATCAATATTTATGTGGTCAAATGAATAGATAAAATTAATGATAGTTATTCACCAATTTGAAAAAAAAATTGGTCACTTTTTATCATGCTGAAAATATAATTACATAAATTTTATTGATTTTTTAAAAAAATTATCTGTCATTTTTTTCCCATAGATACTTGGTCCAGATGATACAACTAATTTTGATAAATATCCTCAACAAAATGAAATCCCACCTGATGAAACATCAGGTTGGGATAAAGAATTTTAGCATTAAATTAACTTGTCATAAATGATCTAAAACCTTTTTTCTTATTATTTCATACATATATTTATATAAATAATGATTGTAGGTGTATGTGTGTATGTATGTATCTATGTATGAGATTTGTGCATTTGATAAAGAGTGTAATTGTTATTGTATTGAAATTCTATCTATTATATAGTAAATCTATATTCCATATATGTAAATGAATCAATCATAATCTATAATTTGTGTTTTATCACCTTAACTGATCGATCAATCATATAGATTATTTTATTTACCATAACAACAACAAAAAATTGAACAATTAAATGATTTAACCTATTTTATATAATTGTGAATAATTTTATTGTTACGGTCATGTTTTTCATTCAATTCTGAAAAGACTAAAATAAAAAAACGATTCAAATTATAGAAATGAATTTTTCTTTACTTTACTTTTCTCTTCTTTCTTTTCGTATCAAACTGATTAGATTTACTTTTTTGAATTAAATAGAAAATAAACTTTTGAACTGAAAAAAAAAAAAGAAAAAGCATATTCTGTTTTTATTGTTCGATTCGAGTATTTTTTTCTCTCTTGTCTTTAATGTGTTTGCAATGGGATAAAAAGTGAAAAGACGATCATTTTATTGTTGAATTATTTATTTTTGATCAGAAATAAAACCCCTTGTTTTCTCGTTTTTTTTTAATATAGAAATTCTTCATAAAATATATTTCACTGCTGTGTACATAAATAAATAAATGTGTGTATGTTTATGTGTGTGTGTGTGTGTATTTCCAGTTCCACTAACCTAAATAATACACATTAAATTAGCAATACTTGAATTTAGATTTGATCTAATACAATGATTCACTTTGTAATCATGATCTATATATATATATATATATATATATATATATATATATATATATATATATATATATATATATATATATATATATATATATATATATATATTAACCGATTTGTATCATCAGAATGTGTACTTATATAATGGATATTTTAAAGAAATAAAATATTTAAATAAATGAACTTACTATCTCATTTATTTATTCAATATATATTGAAAATCATTTCTAAGTAAGATTTATCAACTTATCATCAGAGTTATTAAGAGTTTCCTTTGGAAATTTTTTTTGTAGTATAGATTTAATCCATAAAATTCTACTGCTGGTTTCTATGTTATTTTTTAATAAGAGTTATTTTTATTTTATTCTTGATTACTTTTTTTTTCTTCATATTCTATAGTTGTTTATATTTAATTAAAAAATCTTGTAAGACTTCATTCTATTCTTAAATATCTCTTTATATATGAATCATATTGTTTTGTTAATAAATTCAATGAATGAATAAAGAATAAGTTAGATTATATTCAATCTTTACTTAAAGATTGTAATTGAATTTGAATTTTTTTTAAAAATAATTATCTTTATCGATTAAAATATTCATTTAAAGTGTACGATTCAAAGTCTAAGAGATATATTACTTTATTCTTGTTATTATGAATAGTTGATTGATTCTAACATTTATCCTGTATCTTCTTTTCTTGATTGTTATTAAGTCTGTTGTTTGTACAAATTTTGAACAATTCATATAAACATATTTATACTAGATGGGTTTTTCTTTTTTGAATATCTTTGTTACATAATCAATATTGTGTACTCCAGTTAAAAAGAACTTAATAACTACACTACTTTCTCAGTTTATTTATTTTTCAGTACTAATGAACAATTCATTAGTTGTGTGTGTGTGCGTATGTGTTGTATTTCAATTAATTTATGTTATTGTAAGATAATCCATATTTTAAAAAAAACAACAACCTTTAAACAGAGTTGATTAATCACTATAGGTCGAATTCTTTTTGCCATCATTGATCTATTATTGATTATAATTCACCTAATTGATTTTATTGTTTACTTTTAAGAAAGACAATTAGTAGATTATACTAAATATGATATTGATTGACGAAAAGAAATTAACTTTAAACTAGAAACAGTAATTACAAACTAGTTCTTTTTAGTAAACGATTATTAAGGGAGCATAAATTGGTTACCAAAATCAATATCCTTTAGTATAGTTAGTTTTTAATTTACTTTGTAATCATAACAACTAAAAAAGACAACATTACTTCTCCTGTTAGTGTCATCAAGTTTCGGCAACAATAATAAATACAGAATATATTTTTAAAAATTATGTCCAATAACGATGTATGTAACTATCCATATTTGGACAGTTTGCTCAGAAAAAATTTAGATATCTACCTAACCATAAATTCAACCTAACTGAAGTAAGCACGAACTATGATGAAGGCTTTATGATAACGTTAGTCAGATTGGAGAATATCCCAATATGGACAAGATTTTATAATATCTAGTCTTAGAATTTTTTTCGTATTGTTTAGAATTAATACTGTTTTCTAAGTTCCTGTGGAACTTCATTAAAATCTTAATCAATAGTTTCATAGGATTAATTATTAAGTATACAGAAAACAATCAATATAAAGTTGTACTTGTAAAAATCTTAGCAATTGAAATTAAACAATTCCAACTGTGTTAACTTGACAATATTTTTCTAGCTGCATACACAAAACCATATTCTATGGTTCAAGTACATTTCATATTGAATAACTATCATTCACAATACAAACAAAAGTAGAATTTGAATATGATCTGATAATTACTTAGTGAGTATGTATGTTCTATCAAAGAAACCAGTTTGGTATATTTCAGTTGTAAATAAAATAAATCTTTCCTGATAAGACAGGGCTTAAAGTAATATTTAGTGCAACAAAAGTGTTCTTATAAAATATACAATATGACTAACTAAATTACTTTAAAACAATTAGTCCCTTCGATAAACTTCGATAATACAGTGAGAAGACGAAGGTTATCAGAATTATGTTATATATTTGCGCAATACATTTCAAACAATCTGATCACACATATACTTGTTAAGAACATTTATAGATGAAAATTAAAAGGTCAACTAGACAGGTTAAGGGTAAGTCATAACAAAGAAGAATAAAGTACACAAAAAACAATGTGATAATCACTCTGGATAATAAATCAGTATTACCAGGGTAGGTTAAGGGTTAGAATAAATTGTTTTTGAACACATAAAGGGGGTTTTAATTTCCGTATAGCCAAGGCTTCAATAAACCTTAGTATACGTCCTTGAAAACTCTTGTACAAAACTATAAAGGCTGACTTGATATCAACCTTATGATCAGTTTCAACCAAATGTTTCGCAGTGAGGGGAAATGTCTGCTATCCTGTGATCTTGTTTGACCATTGGAATTCATTTGCTTCTGCAGCCATTTGGGTATGTGTTCCCCCACCCTTAATAGCAGATCACGATTGTTCCTCCCCATGTACGTGCTTCCACACATATATGTAAATTTGTTTATTTAGTTGAACACATAAATATTGGTACAAGGCGGCACCAGATACATATGCGCCACACAATAATAATGGGAATGGGAAGTGATAAAGTAAGGTGCATGTAAAAAGAAAAAAACAATAACGACCACATTTTATGGTAGTGAAACAATAATAATAATGGGGGAACAAGAAAGGTACAACCAGAAAGAATCCTTTCAGTTAAAGAACGGTCACTTTTTACGAAGAACTCTGCCCATCGTCCAAGACGTCGATGGATGTTAGTGATTGGCATCCCATCATCCTCGCAGATTGTTTCGCTCACACCAGGCTTCTTGCTGTCAGTGGCTCGGATGAATTGGAAGAGCTTCCGGTAGTTGCCAGGTGAAGCTGCTACTTCTAGCTCATTAGCACGCTCCGATCACCAGGCTTCTTGATCTTTACGCAAGCTTTGTTCAATTTCATCACGTAACACCCTTTGTTTGTGGTCAAACTCACGGTCAAACGAAGTAAACCGACGGGTCTCGATGACTTGTAAGGAACCTGAAGAAACCCAGTGCTTATAAGTGGGACGTTTCGCGAACCCACAACTGACTTTACCCGCCATTTTCATGGCGTCATGCAATTGCGACCAATGCTCATCTATACTTTTCGGTGGAATGGTAGATAGCCTAGAAGCTAGCTCAGTTTGATACTTACTTGCAACAGAAGTTGCAACCAACTTGCTGACATCAATCCTTTGGTGGCGGTCACTTCGTTGGCCACTGAAAAGTAAGGTAAGATTAGCACAGACCAGGGCATGATCAGAGTATAGATAGGTACTCCAAAAGGAGCGGCAGTCTTGTATACAACCACACCAGTGCTAGCTGATCACGATGTGATCAATCTGAGTCCAGGCTTGAGATGTAGAGCGAGGACGCCAGATGGCACATCGACTATGACTATGCTGGAAGTTAGTGCCAGTGTGCTGTTTGGTGAAGCATAGACCTTGTTTTTTCAATAATGACAAGTTGGGCTGCATAAAATATCCGATTGATGGCTAATTTAAGTCTCCATTTCAACATGAGACTATTTGAGTCACATCTAAATGGTAACATGATGTAAACTCACTTTTTGGATTCCAGAAGCGTCAGTGTTATAACTTGTGACCTGTGTGCCCTGTTAATGTATAACGTAACGATATCGCCAATTAGAAAGCAGTAACTTATCGATCGTACCAGTGACGCATAAAACACGTGCGAGCAGTCTAGAGTCCTGATTGGTCCTGCTTTCCGCCTAGCCCAGCTAGTTAAGTGCAGAACACCAACCCGAGCCTCTGAAATATGAATCATCATACGGGGTTTATATACCAATCAAACAGACCACATCGTACCAATAAAATAGGAAACAACATTTGTACAAGATTTGACCAAATGTGGCTGTGAAAGTGGGAGGTAGTAATTGATAGACTGGGCATAATTCAAGAATGGTAAATCGTATAATAGTTCATAGATCAAAATAAAGCTCATAATAAGAAGGACATGAATATGAATAGTTTAGTTATTTAACAATTATACAATAAAAATATACGCATAGTATTGGTCCATAGATGGATCCCCAAAGTTACCATTCACTATGCTTTCCGGGAC